ACTCTACTACCATCTGATCTGTGCTGTCTGTTTGCTTGGGAATCATGGTACTCCTTTCCTCCCCTAGCCCCAAGATCATTTCTAGACTTCCCTAATAGAATCTTCCTTATCATTGCTTTCCTCTCCCTAGGGATGGAATTAGTATTTTAAAAACTGTAACTCTTACAAGTACTCCCAGAACATTTTGTATGTGACCATTTTAGAATGTTGGTGTTTGGCAGTTACTTCAATGTAAGGTTTATATTCTAAAGTCACTACAAGAGTCAACATCAAATTTTAAGGAACTTTTTTTTAACTTTTAAAAGTCAAGTTCTGCATCATGAAATATGGGTTTATTCTTTCTTGCTGAGGTGTGGCTTGATGTCTACATTGGAAATAATCCTTTCACTGAAATGCTAACTTAAGGTCATTAGAAAAATAGAATGATTGGGAAGTAAGGGACTGACTTCTGATCCATATTCTCATGGATGGTAAACAGCTTACACTTCCCTCAAATCTGCCTATCAACAGACAGGGCTTTTATTTTTATAAAATAAAGGAAATCAGCCCCCAAACTGGAACTCTTTTGCAGGCACATTTTTTGTTAGATGTTTAGAAAAAAAAAGACAGCTCAGCATGATTAGAGGGTCTTCTGGTCCTGCTTTTCTTTTCCATGAAACCCTGAAATCCAAAAAAACACCAAAGAAGGGAAATATTCTTCATTCATTAAAAAAAAATCTGTGTTTTTTGCTCAAGGTTAAAATAAACCCCTTATAAAGCAATATAAGCAATCTTAAAAGGTTTCTAGGCTGGGTAATTTGGGGGGATGCTTTTTGGGGTTTTGTGGGTGTTTCTTTTGAGGAATTTAAAAACCATACTTACTAATTTTTAAGGGGATTCTTTTTTCAGGTCAGAAGATTTCATCATACCTAATAATGGATATGTTTTTTAAAACCTGAGCACAAAATTGGGTTTACTGTGCATCATTGGGATGCCAACTCACACTCCTGACACACCCACCATCATCCATACTGATCGCTAACTCTTGACACCCTGGGGCCACTTTATGTTTTTAGCCCACCCTGGGGCCACTTTATGTTTTTAGCCGTTAGAAAGGTGATTTCTGAGGCCTGGCAGCTGTTGGTATTAAAGCTATTGTGTGGGAAACAAAAGCCATTCTGTTCTGTTCCCCAGCTGCCTTTGTGTCCTTGATACTGGAGCTGTTTCATAAATGAGGTATAATTCTTTACCAGGGAATTTCATTACTGCCATGTTTCAATACCAGCTTACATTTCCAACAGAAGAGAGGAATGTCTGAGCGTACCTTGCTTGTGGAAGGAAGCTTGCTTTCTGACCTCCATTAAGATGCATGCATTTAAAATTTGCTAATTAGACTTGCAATTAGATGCTATCATAACAACATATATTCTGAACCAAAAGTCAAGACTGACTAAGGTGAATTTGTCTTTGAAACTAAGCAGAGCACAGTACACATAGACCAGTGCGAACTAGATATTTTGCACAGTCCTTTATTAATCTGTCCTGGAGCTTTTTTGGACAGACTGTGAGAACTGACATTTGTTTGGAGGATGTGCACTCCTTATTTTCATTTATAAAATTTATTAATCTAGGAAGCTTTCAGTTGCATATTAAAAAAACTAGCCTAAGCTACCTAGGAAATACAACAAAACTCATTATTCTTCTCCTTTTCATCCTTCCCAAGGCTTGGTCCTTTGCTGTCCAACTTTATTTCTCCACTGCATAGATATTGAGCTCTTCCCTTTGATTTGCTATGGCTACCTGTAAGAAGCCATATTTCATCTACCCTTTATTCACCTCTACCATTGCCTTGAGAAGAACTTGCCTTGGTTCTTTCTCATTAAGACCAAGAAATGAGGGGCTGGGAAGGTGGCTCAGTGGTAGAGCACTTGCTTTGTATGCATGAGGCCCTGGGTTCTATTTCTCAGCACCACATAAGCAAAAAGAAAAAAGCCAGAAGTGGTGCTGTGGCTCAAGTGGTAGAGCGCTAGCCTTGAGCTGAAGAGCTGAGGGACAGCTCCCAGGCCCAGAGTTCAGGCCCCATAACCGGACCCAAAAAAAGAAAAAAAAGAACAAGAAATGACACAGGGTAGTGCGCCTATATGCAGCCAGTATCAACTGACTTCCAATTGACCTAGGTTCACAAGCAAGAGTAAGCTGTACACTTGTAATCCTAACTACTCAGGAGGTTGAGATCTGAAGATTGGGGTTTGAAGGCAACCCCACCAGGAAAGTCTGTGAGACTTTTATTTTTTACAATAGCTTAATTATTGTTAGACAGTAAAATGAATATGGTAAATGGCTTCATCAGGATGTGGCCATTCCCATAATAGCATTCAGGAATTCCTGTTTTCTGTGAGACTTTTATCTGCAATTAAACCACCAAAAAACTGGAAGTGGAGCTAAGGCTTGAGTGGTAGAATACAAGCCTCAAGCAGTAAAGCTCAGGCTCTGAATTCAAGTCCAAAACAACAATGAATGGACCTGAATTCAGATCCAAAACAACAATGAAAAGAATAAGGACAATTGTGTTAAGTCAGTGTATTTTAGATTTGTTTGTTAAGCAGCACTATAGTGACAATGTCTGACTGATGCGTATTGCCTATATAACTGAACGAGTTCAAAGGTAAACTTTGAAAGGAATTCCTATCCTCTCTCTTTATAATTATCTTGGGGCTTCAATTCGAAGTGAGTTTTCTTCTTGGTGCCAGGATAACTGTCGTCATTTCAGGCTTTGCCTCAATACTTCATGTCATCCAGACAACAAGGCAAGTTCTAGACTTCACTTTGATTAAGCCAGCATAAGTCACATGTCCATCCTGACAATCTTTGAGCAAGGAGGGTTAGATTATATGACTCAGCTCTGTCGATCAAAGTCCCCTCTTGAAGATAGGAGTGAACCCATTCTTCCAGAATCCATGATATGCCAAATTAAAGGTGGGAATGGGGAGTAAAATAGATGCTTTGAGGTAATGTTAGTTATGGGGCAGTCTAAAATCTCCCAAGGCATTTTTTCCCACCTCTATTTGCTAGGCTATCTAGAGTTCTCTATGTTAGATATAATCTAGTGAATAGCAAGGCATTAGGCCACATCCATGCCACCTAAGCACTGGAAAGTGAGTGGAAACCTAGTTTAAATAGTGGGAAAACAACAATGCAGTGGGTAACAATGTTCATGAGAAATGTACCTTACTCGTGTAAATGCAACCCCTCTGTACAGCATCTTTACAATAAAATAAAATTTAAAATAACATAAAATAAATAAGACTACCATTATCCTTTGGACTCCTAGAATCTCAGGTGTTTGAAATGAAAAGTAAGGAAATGGAAAGACTTGGAAAAAATTGTATTAAGTGAAGTAAGCCAAACCCAAAGAAACATGGGCTCCACGGTTTCCCTCATTTATAATAATTAGTATATGTCTAGGATAGTCCCTAGCAGAGGATCACAATAGCTCAATAGCTCTTTACATATGACCATATAAAGTGATACTAATGAAACGAACTGTAAGATATGGAAACGAGGGTTATTTTGTTGTATCTTTTTGTTTTTTTAATGTACTATGTAAAGTTATGTTTTTATTCTTTCATTTTTTTCCTTTGGTTTATCCCCTGTTGTCACTGTTTTTGATTTTGGTATTATGTGTCTTGTATATACGTTTATCTGATTTGGGGAAGAGAAGGGGGAACAACAAAATGGTGAGACAAAGAACAAAGGGTGAACCAATACAACAGCAATACTCACAAGACACTATGTTGGAAATGAACTTTACAACTTGGGGGGGAGGGGAGTTGGGGGGAAGAAAAGAAAATGAGGGAGGGGGTAACAATGTTTGACAAGAAATATACTCATTACCTTACTTATGTAACTGTAACCCTTCTGACATCACTCCTACAATAAAATTAAATTTAAAAAAAAGAAAAAGTAGATTAAACCTAGTAGAATGTGGAGACTTCTGATCTAGAGAGTGAATGGTCATGTTAATGCTGATAGAAAGGTAATGGGTGTTCCACTGATTGAGGCCGCCATTGTTTCTGATGAATTACTGTCCGGTGCTTTAATTTTGTTATTGTCAGACACCAAATACAATGTATTGAATAAATGAATTAAAAAATAGAACCAAGATCTTTTAATGATACTCCCACTCAACCACCACACACCTCCTTGTAAACCTTGTTGGTGAATGCTCCCACAGCAGCCTCTGAAGGAATGTAAACCAAATGAGCAACTAACTCAGTCCTTTTGGCAAACACAGACAGTAAAGGTTCTCAATTACTGTCTGTGCACCTGAGTCCTCCTTGTTGAATGATAAGATTGAATGACCCTTATATTCAACACATTTCTATAATTCAGGAAATGTTTTATCATTCAACTAATACTATTAATCACCTGCTGTCCACTGGTGCTAATAAGTAGCGTGAGGCATACAGAAGTGAATAAGAAAGAATATTTGTCTTCAAGTAATCAACCAATGTAATTCAGCTTTTCACTCATAAATTTAAGAAACTTGGACATTCTAGGAAAGACTTAGGACTTTTAAGGAACTATAATTCCCAAGGAGTTGCTTGGCTATAGTCTTGTAGGATTATTTACCTTGCCAAGTTCTTCTAGGTTTATGTGAAAAATCTCTCAGCAGTAAGACAAAAACATCCAAATTAACCATTGTTTGTTACTTAGCCTTGATGTCAGATATATTGTTAGAGTCTTACCTTGATTGTGTGTGTGTGTGTGTGTGTGTGTGTGTGTGTAATGATGGAACCCAAGGCCATCCCATGCTAGGTAAATGCTCTACCACTGACCAGACCTTACAGTGATTTTTAAGAGATACCATGTACTTCACTATGTCTATTTCATGAGTATTATTAGGTTTGATTAGCAAACCTAATAATAAAGTTATATGAAATAATTCCTCATAATCAGCCTGGGGGTGCTGACACAGCTACACTTTCCTCACCTCTCTTCTCTTTGAATTGTTCTTCCAGTCGGCTTATGCCTTGTACCATACCAACAGAAAATTAACATTGGAACCTAAAATAACTGTCAACGCCAGGATTGTTGTGGTTGGTGCCTCCAGTGTTGGAATCTCCTTTCTAGAGACATTGGTATTTTGGTGAGTTGTTTTACTTCAAAGATTTGTTCTTTTAAAAAATAATAATAAAACTTCTCTAGTTACACCTTGAGAGAGGCCCTTGAGAGAAAAATCCGAGTTCTTTTGCCACTCCCTGCCCATATACTCTGACTATGTAGATTAATGAATCAGAGTGGTAGTGTCAATCGGGGAAAGCAAACTGTAGAGCCCCCACATCAAATCTGGCTTGTCACCTTCTCTTGTGAATAAGGAAAGCCCTATTGGAACACAGCCACATTCACTTTTATAATCTGTGGCTGTTTTCATGCTACAGTGGCAGATTTGAGCGGCAGTAACAGGCCACATGACCCAAAATGACTCTGACAGGCACCATCTGATCCTTTCCAGCAAAAGTTTGCTGGTCCTATTCTACACAACTCAGTCATATTGTTTTTTTTTGTCTGTCACATCCATTGTTCAGGACCACACGAGAAACGTTGGTTACTGTTAAAAAAAGTACAGGCTCTTATAGGCAAGTGGGAGATGGGAACATGCAGCCCACTGAAGCTGAGTTATCAGTCCTGGGAGCTCTTAGAGAGGAACAGTAGGAGAGAGAAAAGTCTGGAGGAAACAACCTCTGAGTGCTTAGACCTGGTTTAAATAGAGACAAGTTAACTCCAAAAGGTGACCCTCCTCATCTGACATAACATTAACTAGAAACTAAGGAAGAGAACTGATTTTTTTTTCATTTTCTAGCCAGTCTGTTCAATCAGAACACAGCTCTAGTTAACCAGAAATAAATTGCATGTCGTTATTGAAGTTAGCAACAGAGTTCACATGCTTAAATAGTGTGGTTAGTTTGCAGTAATAACTCACTGCAAGAATGACATAATGAGAAGTACCATGGATGTTTATTTTGCTGGATCTGTCACACTGCATGAGAGTGCTTCCTCGCGCTGATGGCTCCCTTCATTCCAGACTTCTGAATAGCAGGTCTTTATGCAGCTACTCTTGAATGACGAGTTAGTAGGATGGACTCGAGAAATTACAGGAGTTAAGAAATATTCATAAACAGGTCTTAAATCATAATTTGGCTGCATGCATCATAATTTTGGTCAACAATGAGCACATTAAGATATATGCATGCAATTTTCTTTTTGTGGAATTGACTTCAATTTAATAAATATAAATTTTGTTGTAAATACTGAGTTGATTAAATTCCCCAAACAGGCCTTTTTCCTCCATTCCAAAGTACTCATAATTCTCCATCATTATTACGGATTATGGACACTAACAATAGACTCATATCAGTTTACAGATCTATAATCCTTAAGAGAGGAAATGGTTTTCTCATTATTTTCACTAATTATTGTAAATTAGCAATCACCATAGTAACCCACTGCATATCTTAGCAGTTTACCTGACACTTGAGCTGATTTGAGCTGGAATAAAATTGAAGAAATGCATTTTTACCAAACACTACCCACTGGTGAAGATTCAACAAGATTTAGAAAAATGTCACCTTGTACTCATGGGCTGAGTTATCAGATACAGTGCATGGTCATATTCCTAGAAACTCCATGTAAGGTGCAAGCCAGTAACATCTTCTCCTGGAAGATGTATCAATCCTGTTATTATCTCCATGCAAGAAATTATATAAAGTATATTTAGTCTTTTCTTTAAAGACAGAAGCCCTTTCATGACGTTGGTACCCTTCCTTTGTCCATCCTTCCCCAAATTCTAAGGTGCTCCTGGGAGAGCCGAAGTCTTCTGCCCAAAGTCAGTACCCCATTCAGGATGCCAGTTACATGCCAGGAAGGCAGTACCAGGGGTGAAGGTGAGGTTGAGAAGAGCGTCCTCACTATGTTGTCTAGGCTGGCCTCCAACCTGTGATCTTCCTGCCTCCGCCTCCCAAATTGCTGGGATGACAGCATGCACCATCACACCCAGCTTGGAATTTTTTTAAGTACAGTATATTATTTGGTCTCAACTGCCAGCATTGGCAGGGATACATTTTCTTATTTTTGGTTGTCTAGCCTATGAGTTAGCTATGAATCCCTGTCTCTCAACTACCAGGTGATATGGGCAGGCATTTCCCTAAAGACCCACACCAACATCCCCATTTTCTAATTCCCTTCTGGGTGCTAGACCCTGGCCCTAGTGTCCTGTGAGCTCATCTCTGCTGCTGGCCAGTACTAACACACATGGCCCTGAGAGTGACCCTTTTCTTCTCATCTATGCCAAGAGTGTCATAGCATGAAACCCCCAGGTACTGCCAGCCTAAAGGTGCTGTCACCTTAGAAATTCAAGGAAGCCCAGTAGAGGTCTGGAGCAACCTCTCTGCTCTCAGATGAACAGACTGTCCCCAGGTGAGCTATGCCATTCACTGGGGCCACACTAATTCCAGAAGAGCTATCCAATAACCTGCAATAGCTCTTCCAAGGGAGCAAGAGACCCCTTTGCACAAAGCTTGAATTTTGACCTTTTACTCCTTATTGAACTGCTAAACTCCTTAAATGCAAGCTTTCCACAAAGATACTTTAAAATGATTTTTAAGAGAAATATGGAAAGTTGGGTATGGTGCTACATGCCTGTAATCCCAGTTACTCAGTTACTTAGAAAGGTCAGAGTTTGAGGGTATGTCTATAATCTCAGCTACATGGAAAGCATAGGTAGGAGGGTTATAGTTTAAGGCCCATGGGCAAAAATGTAGGAGACTCTATCCTAATTAAAACAAAACCAAACCAAACCTGATGGGCTGGGAATGTGGCTTAGTGGTAGAGTGCTTGCCTTGCATGCATGAAGCCCTGGGTTAATTCTCAGTACTACATAAACAGTAAAAGGCAGAAGTGGCTCTGTGGCTCAAGAGGTAGAGTGCTAGCCTTGAGCAAAAGAAAGAAGCTCAAGGGTAGTGCCCCAGGACTGGCAAACATACACTCACAAAGCAAACAACAACAACAAAGGTTAAATCAAAAGTGCTAGTAGAGTAATAGAATGTTTTCCTAACAAACACAAGGTCCTGAGTTCAAACCCCAATACTAGAGAAAAAAAAAGAAGTATGGAAATGCTATGCCAATTTTTGAAAAATAAGAAAGAAGACAGGAACCCAGTCTCTGAACTTCCCTTATGTTTATATAACAGTTTTTATATCCTTCTGGCTCACTGTTTTGTCTGTGGGCCAGCTCTCTCAACCTTACCTGGAGGCTCCTTAGAAATGGCAGAATCTCATGCTCTTCCCCAAACAGTGTCCCAGATTGATGAGAGATTTGTACACACACCAGCTTTGTTATTGTCTCTTTGGCCACAAACTCAGTGATCTGCAGCAGTTACTATTTTATTCTGTTTCATCATGTCGCTTACAATAGTTACTATCTCTTATACTATTTACTCCTAACTGTAGCACAATTAATTTTATTTTTTGGCAGTACTAAGATTTGAATTCAAGACCTTGAGCTTGCTAGACAGACACTCTTCCCTCTGGGCCATGCTTCCAGTCTTGTTCTTTTGCTGGTTATTTTTGAAATAGGGTCTTACTTCCTGACCAGACGTGTACTTGAGCACAGTGTGCCTATAGTAGCTTCTCCATCATAGCTGAGCTGACAAGTATGTACCACCATATCTAGATCTTGGTTTTGAGCTTGTCTGTCCAGGCTTCCAATCTCAGCCTCCCAAGTGGCTAGGATTGTAGGTGTGAGCCACTAGTAGTACCTAGTTCCTCCCTCCACACCTCCCTCCCTCCATACCTCCCTCCCTCCATACCTCCCTCCCTCCCTCCCTCCCTTCCTTCCTTTCCTTTCTTACCCATCCTCCCTTCCTCCCTTCTTTCCTCCCTCTCTCCCTTCCCTTCCCCTTCCCTTCCCTCCTCTTCATTTCCCTTCCATCTTTATCAATTCTGCAGAATTTGATTTATTTATTCTTGCCAGTCCTGGGGCTTGAACTCAGGGCCTGGACACTGTCCCTGAACATTTTTTGCTCAAGGATAAAACTCTACCATTTGAGCCACAGCACCACTTCCAGCTTTTTCTGTTTATGTGGTGCCAAGGACTTGAACCCAGGGCTTCATTCATGTTAGGCAATCACTCTACCATGAAGCCACATTCCCAGCCCAAGAATTCGATTTATAAAGAGATTTTATTAGTATATAGTAGGTGCACATGGGAGGAGTTCATTGTTACACATACATACATACAGTGTCTATATGGAAATGATCAAACTCATTCCTCCATCTCTTTCCCTTATTTCCCCTCATCCCTTCTTAAATTGGTTTCAACAGATTTCATTGTTCTATTTTCATACATGCATATAATGTACTTTGGCTATATTCACTCTCATTCACCCTTTCTATTGGCCCTCTTCCACCCAATGATACCTGCCCCTCAACAGAGTTTGTTTTACTTTCCTATGATTCATTATTATTAAGAATAAAATTATTATTACAGCATATATTAATTTTACAAAGGAATTTCACCAAGGCAATTCACATGTCTATATATTATAATTTAGATTAGAAGAATGAGTGATATTGAAATACGTGGTGTTGATTATAAAGGTAAGAATAAGGCAAGTCAAACTACTAAGCAATAATACTAAGGAAAATGGGAAAAAGGGAAACAGTAGATGAAGTATCTGGCACAATTCCTTTTACTCTTATCATTTTTAAGTCCCTCCTAATTCAATCCAGATGGAATGCATCTCTCTAAGAGCCTGGAATTTCACTAGAAAGATGCACAACGAGGTCATCGAAGTGGCCTCAGAAATGGATACTTCTAGTCACCAGAAGCGATACTCTGTTTGCTGTTTTTTTTTTGTTTTTTGTTTTTCATTTTCATTACTGAGAAAAATTTGCTCAAAAAGTGGCCAGATCCCTTCAAGGAAGAGACCTCAGATTTTTCTGAGCTAGACACTGTTGCCACACCAGACTGAGTGTACTGGGTGAAAAAGGATAGCTTGGAACTAGCTGGGCATGTTTTCAAGGCTATGATTGTGGACGAATGGCCCCCAACTCCTGTTATCAGGCTGCACAGTTCTGTACAATATCCGGC